AATCTTCGTCAATTACAATATCCTGATTGTGAAATTGTGTAAAAAAATTTTCATACCAGATAAATTTATTATCAGCTGTTAATCCTGACATATCGTAAATTTTCCAATAAATTAACTGTCTTCTGCTAAGATTGGGCGGATAATTAAATTTAATGTGGGAATCATTAATATTATCATTTATTAACTTGTATAACTTATAAGCTATAAATAAGTATCTTATTAGATTATGTCTCAGGGGTAAATAATGTAATCCAGGAATTTTTTTGGTGTTAAATTTTTCATTATTTATATGTTCGATATCTATATTAATGAAAAGTTCCTCTTTTTTGTTCATATTTTTTTAAATCCTTTAAATATTCAATTCTAATACTTTCTCGAAATGATCTGCCCTAGCAACAAATAGGGAATTAATTATTGGCTAAGATTTATTGTCATATGAATTTTTTATTATATATTTGTGATAGAATTTAATCAAATAAATCCCAATAACATATGGTCTTTGTTTCAAGGTTATCTGACCATGGCATAGACAAACAAAGACTACTTTTTTTTTCCGTGGCATAACGTGTCGATGTTAATGTACTATTAGATCAAAGACTCTAAATCCTACCCCCTTCACCCCCCTACACATGATGAATCTTATACTATACTATAATGTAATGATGCCCAACCAATTAATTCACATATCATTCTTTACATTAGAAAGGGAACTTAAGTGACTGACTGGACTCTGGCCGATGGTAGATTTAACCAGTTCAGTTATCATTTTCTGTATTTCAGAGTTACGTACTTCTTCCGTTAGTCGCAAGGCAACATTTTGTAAATGATCCACATTATCTTGAAGCCTCGACAATTTAGTTAGCACCTCAATAACAGTTATATGGGTGGTTAATTCATATTGGGGATATTTACTCAAATCTATTGAAGGTTTCGGTAATCTACCTTCGGTTTCCAGGTAATCAAGGCCTTTAAAAATAGAAGTAACGTGGTCGTCTTTCGTTTTGTATAGATCATTGTAATCCATCTTATGTGGATAATTAAATTCTTCTACTCCCAATGGCCACCACTTACCATTATTACATGATACCAAAATTTTTTTGGTAGCTAGGAGTTCATCATTTGAATAAAAGGTTACTAAGATATGTTTAAGTTTTACAGCATCATACTCTTTTCTAAAGAATAAAATATAGTTGATCATTTCGTTTACTGACGACGTCATTATACTTATTATTACTGTGCTCGTTTTGGGCAAATGAATGTAATAGTTAAGTGAAATTCTAAATTTTTATTACTTTTATACACTTCTTACAAAAATTTAATTTCTAATTAGTGACAATAGTTGTTGAAAACTTGTACTTTTAATAATAATTAGTTCCCCTTTTTATACCATTTGACTTAATTTTAGTTATCTCAAATAATATGAGAGGAGGGGGTAATAATGATGGTGGGGGCATTGAAGCCAAGTATAATGACGTCGTCAGTAAATGAAATGATCAACAGGATCTATACAAAACGAAAGACGAATACGTTTTTAAAGGCCTTGATTTCGGCCAGAGCCCATTCAGTTACTTATGTTTCCTTTGTAATGTAAAGAAATATGTGAATTAATTGGTTTGGCATTATTACATTATTAAGATTCATCAATGGTTTTTATTTATACTTTTAGCATTTGCTCCTAACTTCAAGATTTATTTATTATAAGAATAATAAACAAATATATTTTATAACATAATCAATTCAGTAAAATAACTTAAAATACTACACAGTGCTTTGTGTCTCTTACACAATCCCAATAAATATGTCACTACTGTTTTGGACATGTGAACGAGTTTCATTAAATGGCAGTGGTCATCACCGTCACTAAACCATACAAAATGTATGAATAGTGATCGCTATCCAATTTGCCAATGTATCTCATCTCGGGGTCTGTGGTGCGTTTGAAATAAAAGTTCAGTAGTTGTTTCATCTGCTACTGCTCTTTCCCATGATCTAATCATTAGATTCCGTTGAACTTCATTGATTATTTGGCGTTTTAAAAAATGAGGAATATTAGGGTTGGTGTTGATTGTTCTACGTAAGCAGGCCACGGTCCAATATCCCATTCTATTAATATCCAAAAAGGAATTCACAAATTGATTGACGCACATTGCCTGCAAACTATTTGGCTTGTAGGTGTTTTTACATGGAGGTGGTGGTGATGATGATGATGATGATGATAAACCTTCGTCTTCTATAATAAAACGACAGATTTCTTCCTTTTCTCCCGTTTGAATGAGGTCCATAAAGAGATGGGGATTTCGGGTTATGAAAAGTACGCGGTTTACCCTTTCTACATAAAAGGATCCATAGTCTTTCGCCACTATTCGAGCAATTAATTCTCTCTTCGCAGAATTTAAATGATAAATTCTGTCAAGCTTTCCTATGTTAATACAACATATATCATCACACTTTTTATCACCATCACTGAAAACCCGAAATGTATAATTTTTAGGCCATTTATTACAATATTCGGGTACCCCATAAGGATAACAACGTTTATAGTTGGGGTCCCTATAAATTATATCTTGACGAGGCTTGTGATGATAATATGCCTTCCCATCATGTAAACAATAGGGTTTATGTCGAATCATCCTTCGATTAACGTATTTAAGCCATTTTTTATTTTTAAACCATGCTTCGTAAGCTCTCACATCTCGGGTTAATTCCCAACGTATATTTTTAAACATCATGTGCCTGAAATAATAATGCCGATTCAAATATTGTTTTATAGACATAAGCTTTTTCAGCGCTGCCTGATCAACTTTGCTACATGACGATGGAATCGATATTCCGTCTGCTATCATCATCTCTCTCAGAGCTTCTCGTTCCTGCTTGGAAGCTTGTATCATCATTAGAAATATGGAAGGATCTTTGGCGTAGGACCTATATCCCTTGATAGGCAATATTAAGTAATCCGGATCACGGGGGTACTTGAAATTATGTTCACAGAACATAATGCTTCTTTGGTCAATGTTAGAGAAGAATTCTACAAACATATAAGAACAATAATTTTCAGCCTCATTAAATAAGACTCGCAGTATAAATTGCAATTGGGATGCCGCAGGATATCCTTCTTGAGTAGATCCCATCCATATTTTAATAGCATAAACATTTACAATTTGGGGGTTAAATTGTATTAATTTACTTATAGATGGTTCTAAAGTAATATTTAAACCAATTGAAAAATATTTGTCTACATATTTTTTTATTTGGGAACTTGATGTAATCGAAGATGTAAAAGATTTAAAGGGAAACATGGATACCATGGTTTTAAAACCTTTGTGCAAATGAGTATTCCGAATGTTAGTAGGAGTAAATCCCTTTATGTACAATGAGTGTGAAAAAAAATTTAAGTATAGATTCAACCAGAACAAAGTTTTCAGCAAATATTATCACAAATTAGGAAAAACAAATTGACAAGAAGTATAAAAGTAATAAAAATTTAGAATTTCACTAACTATCCATCCATTCATTAACCAAAAACGAGAACATATTTTAGTAACCTTTTATTCAAATGATGAACTCTTCTGAAGTGCAGAAAATGATAACTGAACTGGTTAAATCTACCATCGGCCAGAGTTCAGTCAGTCACTTTGATCTTTGATCTAATAGTACATTAACATCGACACGTTATGCCACGGAAAAAAAAAAGTAGTCTTTGTTTGTCTATGCCATGGTCAGATAACCTTGAAACAAAGACCATATGTTATTGGGATTTATTTGATTAAATTCTATCACAAATATATAATAAAAAATTCATATGACAATAAATCTTAGCCAATAATTAATTCCCTATTTGTTGCTAGGGCAGATCATTTCGAGAAAGTATTAGAATTGAATATTTAAAGGATTTAAAAAATATGAACAAAAAAGAGGAACTTTTCATTAATATAGATATCGAACATATAAATAATGAAAAATTTAACACCAAAAAAATTCCTGGATTACATTATTTACCCCTGAGACATAATCTAATAAGATAATTATTTATAGTTTATAAGTTATACAAGTTAATAAATGATAATATTAATGATTCCCACATTAAATTTAATTATCATGAAATAATGATGAGAGATATTTTTTAATGGTTTTGTCAGTTTGTTCAATCCTCTCCAGATTTTTATTCCGTTACAACCAATCATAACATCCTAATGATATTCTCTCTAAGGCCTGGTGATTTTTTTTTGAAAAATTGTTTTGATTCAATTCATCTGCCACTACTCTTTCCCACGATCTAATCATTAGATTCCGTTGAACTTCGTTGATTAATTGGAGTTTAAATAAATGAGGAATATTACGGTTGGTGTTGATTGCTCTACGTAAGCAGGCCATGGTCCAATATCCCATTCTAGTAATATCCAAAAAGGAATTCACAAATTGGTGGTGGTGATGATGATAAACCTTCGTCTTCTATAATAAAATGACAGATTTCTTCCTTTTCTCCCATTTGAATGAGGTCCATAAAGAGATGGGGATTTCGGGTTATGAAAAGTACGCGGTTTACCTTTTCTACATAAAATGATCCGTATTCTTTCGCCACTATTCGAGCAATTAATTCGCTCTTCGCCGAATTTAAATGATAAATTCGGTCAAGGTTTCCTAGCCTAATACAACATATATCATCACACTTTGTACACCTGAATATTCCAAATATTAGTAAGAATGTGGCTACTAAATTTCTATTGGATGGAAGAGTAGCGAAGCGTGTGTTGGTTGGCCGTCAGTGGATGTAAAATGTGAGAGTAGCCTGCGACTACTTGATTTTTATATAATTCAGCTGATACTGCTACCATCTACTCCGGGCAACCAGCTGTCTCCTCCACTCTTTGAGCAACGTTTTGTAATTTTTACTGCCCTATTTTTTTTTTTTTTTTTTTTTTTTTTTTTTTTTTAGTAAATTTTGATAGCAGGATGATTTATTGATTTAAAGTGGTGACACCACAAAAATATTAATGCTTGCTCTACTTGGTGGAGGTTTCCAGGTAAGCAATCAAGTCTGCACGCTCATTCTTCTTCTTAAGACCAACGAACACCATCTTTGTGCCTGGAATAAATTTCTTGGGGTTGGTCAAGTAGATATCCAGATTATCTTTGTCCCACGTGATACTCTTGGCCTTGTTGGCATAAGTGTAAATATAACCAGAAGCCTGACCAGTTTGGCGGCCGAAGAGGCCATTTAGATTGGGTCCAGTTTTGTGCTTGCCGTTTAATTCAACAGTGTGACACTGTGCACACCTCTGCATAAAGATCTTCTTACCTTTTTCCCTCTCACCCATCTTCTGAAAAAAAAAAACACATTAACTTAAAAGGTTAAGGTGTATGCTATTTATTTATTTATTTATTTATTTATATGTTTCATATACTTACTTACCAAAAAAGGACACTTTTTTTTCTTTGTTTTAGGATTCTGATATACTCTGCGAGCACACTGCACAACCTTGAGTCAAAACACGCTCACAGATGGACTAAAAAATACTGTAGATACAGATTTGGATAATGTATCTAACCAGCTACAACTTCAACCAAACACAGTTTCAAATGAGAAAACATAAGAAATAAATAATTACACCCTCCTCCTCCTCATCAGCATCATCATCATCATCATTATCCCAAAAAAAAAAAAAAAAAAATATATATATATATATATAAAATGAATAAAAATATGATATGGAAATGTGGTAAGGATGACATTTTAACTTTTCGGACTAGAGTTTTTATAGCATTGGTGCCTGAGCTGGGCCCTGAGGTGGGCCCTGGGGTGGCAACTGTGACTGTACCTGCGGTGGACCTTGCAACTGAAGTGGTGATGGCTGGCCTTGGGTTGTCATATGAATATGAACGCTAGGTGGTACCTGTTGCTGCCTGAGAAATTGATGCCCTCTGATTGAAACCCAAACAGAGGTACAAATAACACATACATATACATTTATTTACAAAAAAACATTTTTTTTATTGTTTTATTTAATGAATGTTGGTCTCAGGATTGGTTCACCCCCCTTTCTATGACAAAGTTGGTTAAAGAATAATAAGTATTTTCTATTTGATGGATCATTAGAATTTTTTGAGGCTAGTTTTAATAAATATGGCTGTAAACTCTTAAAAACAAGTTTCATCTCTGAAAGGCAAAGGCAAAGGCAAAAGTGTCCATAGAGCTGGCAAGCAGGGATGGAAGAGGCATGGGTAGGATTAAGGAAAACATGAAGGAGGATTAGGAGGTTAGGAGGAGAGTGGGATGGACAGGGTAGTGGCCTAACCACTTTGGCTTGGGGAGTGATTATGAAGTGATATGAGTTGATATGTGTATTGATAGGGAGGCAAGGCTGTGCTCATAAATGATGGTGATGATTTTTTTTTTTTTTTTTTTTTTTTTTTTTTTTTTTTTTTTTTTTTTTTTTTTTTTAGATGATTGAATGATTGCTGGCTGCCAGTAGCAGCAAGCTGTAGCTGTTGCACAACAAGAGGAGAGAAGTTGCCATGCGAGGACAGAGTCTTGGTGCCGCATCCGTAGAGCAGTGCTGTGGTGACTTGCAGATGTATTGTTGGTATAGGATCTTGTAGGTGGTGTATACAGTGAATTTGTCCTGGTTGGTAGAGGTATTGGTGACTGATGTTGACTTGTTATTTCATAGTTCGTTCTTGTTAGGTGTATAAAGGATCAGGAGGTTCCCAGTCATCGTCCTCCTCACGTGGTAGGTTACTAAGTATTCTGGGCTGAGGGTAATTCCTGTTGTGGATGTACCGCCTGACTCTTTGCTGTAGTGACATCCTCCTTGTTCTGTGAGGCTGGTCTCGTATTTCATAATTGGTTGTGTTGTAAACCGTAAAGGGATCTTCACGATTTGGTAAGTAGGTGTACTTCATTTTGTATAACTGTTTTGCTGAGAGTTTGTGGAGACGTCTATTCAACGGATCTATCTTTAATTGGATGTGGAGTCTGTCGGTCCGAATTTTATCAGCAAGTGTCACTCCTGCTACAAATCTCAGTGCTCTATTTTGAACCCTTTGAAGTTTCACCATATTTGACTTTTTAGTAAGGGCAAGCGGGGTGTATGGGTATTCCAGGATAGGTCGAATGAGCATTCTGTATAGATGTAGCTTCACATGCGTTGGGGCTTGCCTGAATCGGTACAGCCGAGCTAGTTGTGCTTTGGCTAAGGTTACTTTCTTATTAATATGTTCAGTGGAATTCAAAAGTCTTGATATTCCATAGCCTAGAATTGTAGTAGAGTTCTTTATCTGTATTAACGAGCCACCAATGTTGATGACCCCAAGTGTACTAGCCCAGCTGCCCACTGAGCACAGTTGAATCTTGTTAGGGTTTGTCATGATTTTCCAGTCTTGTTCCCAACTTGCTGTGGCTGCTAGTTCCTCTTTCGTCTTCCTTATGACTGAATCATGTTTAGTTCCTTGGCCAGCAGGCATCGACGACACTACATGGATGACATCATCTGCAAATTGAGTGATAATAGTGTCGTTGTAAATAGGGCGTGGCAAGTCATTTACAAAAAGATTGAAAAGGAGTGGGCTTATGCACGATCCCTGAGGAACTCCTGCTGTCGGAATAAAGGAATCAGCTTCCTTGTTGTTAAACATTGGAATTATTGTTCTATGGCTTAGAAAATTTTTGACTAGTCTAAGGAGGGTCCAGTTGTGGTGTGGTATGGATTGCAGCTTGAAGAGCAGCCCATTATGCCATAGACTGTCAAAGGCCTTGTTGACATCCCTGGTTGCTATTATTGCAGTCTGGCGCTGTTTCCTAATACTGTCTGCTGCATCGTAAATGATGTTGATGGCATGCTGTGTCGATCTGTGGTTCCTAAAGCCAAACTGTTTTTCTGTATACAGATGGTGGTACTCCATGTAGTAGTTAATACGATTTGACAGTATTTTCTCAAAGCACTTTCCTGTCGACTCCAAGAGGGAAATAGGCCTATAGTTTCCAGGGACGTGTTTGCTTTTGCCTGGCTTCGGGATAAAGATCATTTTGGCAGTTTTAAATACTTGTGGAAAGTGGCCTGAGACGAGGATGTCGTTGAAGACATTGAGCAGGGACTGCACGTAGTTTAAAGGTAGAAACTTCAGTTGGTTGACTGTTATTCCTGACAACCCTGGTGCTTTGTTCCTCGTTTTCTTTAATACTTCCAACAGTTCCCGTATGGTAATGGGTCGGGTGATCGGGTGGTCTGGGTCAAGGAGTGCGGTGTCAACTAGAGGCCTGCTAGCCAGGTTCCCAACGTTTTCAGCAACCCATTGGTTGACTGTATGGTGGTTGTCATTGTTGATCTGGCTGTTGTTTTCTGTGAAGATTTCCTCCCAAACCAGTCCCATGAGATTAGCCTGCAGTTGTGCATCTTCCACTCTGGTGGTTATTACCTCGTTGTTGTCATCAGTGTATGTATATCTGAGGTGCGACAGTGGAGTCTTTGTTGATCCTAGGAGTTTTCTGATCTTCCCCCAGAATCTGGCAGGTTCTCTCTTGTACTGGTTCGCTTGGTTGACTAGAGTACCCCAAATATGTCGTTTGTGAAGGAGCGTGAGGCCCAAGACTTCACGTCTGAGGGCTTGAATGATTTGGAGGGATGGCTGGCCTGTGCGTAGGCGCCTCACACATTCTTGTTGGTAATGCCTCATTTTATTCTTGATCTCTCTGGTTGGTTTGTATTGCTGAATTATTCTGGAGTTGGTTAGATCACAATTGGCCATAGTTGCTTCAGTGATGCGAGTATGTATAGAGGCTATTGCTGTGTCAATGTCCTGGACCGGTTGATTGTCAAGATCTGCGGTTGGATCAGAGCCAAGGAACTCCATATATGGACGAAGTCGAAGCGTGTTTAGGTTGGGTCTGGGGCGTCCCAGAATTCTAAAGGGAGATGCTTGGAGATGGAGAATAACGGGTATGTGATCTGAACCTACATCATTACCTGGGAGTATTCTACTGTGAAAGATGTTGCATTCAGCATTTGTCAGTATGATATCAGGTTTTCCTTCGTGGTTACCTACAAAGGTTTTAAAGTAGGGACCCAAGAAGGTTAAGTTCCTCGCTGTCATGAGGTTATATAATAGACGACCCTTGATGTCATCCCGTCCATTGGTGTCGTTGAAAAATGCTGCATGGTGGGCATTAAAGTCCCCTGCAAGGATCGTTGGGACATTTCTGTTGAGCACCTTGTGAATGGCTCTCGAAGGGATGGATTGCTCGCCTGGGGGGATGTATGTAGTTAGAATAGCAAGTGGGCCATGATTCGTGACTATTTCCACTGCTAGGGCATTTTCTTCTTGGAGGTAGATGTTGGTGAAAGAGCAGCCCAGCTTGATGAGGACCGCAACACCTCTATTCTGGCCAGAGTTCCTTTCAATGGTCGTGTATCCATAGAGTTTGATGTGTTGGTCAAGGCGTGCAGAGGTCTCGTTTAACAAGATGACTTCAGGGTGATACTTGCACGCTTCCAGTTCTAGTAGATATTTGTTGTTGAAAAAGTGTCTTACGTTAAGTTGCATAATTGTAATCCAAATTATTTGGCGCAGAATTGTCTAGTTTTAATTGGTGACCTATCACGCTTGTTCTTTTGGTGTTTATTTCCACCAGTTGTCTGTTCAGGCTTCATTCCCCTTGACTGGTGTGCTTTCTCAGTCCCCCGGTTGCACTCTGATTCCTCCCCTTCTTCCCTCTTTTGTGCCTCATCCTCCTCCTCTGCTCCCTCATCATCTACACATTCTTCCTCTTCTTCTTCTACGTGTTCTTGTTCATCTTCATGTTCCTCTTCTGAGGTTCGTTCGTCATCAACTGCTGCGTTGGTCACTTGTGTAGCTGCTGGTCGATGGACTGAGTTGGCTGGTAGTGTCGCAGTAGGCGCCTCCTGTTGTAGGGAAGGCTCCTCTTCTGAGTCCTTAATGTGGATATCAAAGGATTCATCTGTTGAGGATGAGTAATCAGAAGGGGCCGGTGAAGCAGGAATGATTCGTGAGTTGACTGGGTGTTCAGGTTTACCATGATGGTGGCACCCATTCCCATTTATATGTAGGGTAGAAGGGTTATCTCTCACTGCTACTTTGACATGGTGAGTCTGAGTGGGGTGGTTTGGTCGTGGGATCTGTGAAAGAGTGAGTGGGACAGTGGAGTTTGTTGTAGATTGCATGACGTTGGTTGCATCATTTGTTGTGGGTTCAGAGACCAGTGGCTGGTGGAGTGACGACTGTGGTTGCGATGATTGTTCAGGGTTGGATGAGAATGCATCATTTGGGATTATGACTGTAGGTAGGTTGTTGGCCTTCAAAA